TGGGGACATCACTGGATTGACCCAAGAAGAAATGGTAATATTAGAAATACTGTGGATATGAATAAAAATATCACTATCCTTGAATCATCACACCATCAACAATGTAAAGTAGAATAAATATCCAACAGAAAACATGTTGGGGTGTTGTGCTGACTGACTGCCCTGTTCTCCTGGCTGTTATTTGTATTATATTTAATCCACCAATCACAGTTAAATATGGATTGGTGGACGTATGTAATATGTACACACCACCACCCAAAAGTTATAGTTTTCTTTGGCAGGAAGGTTTCCTGGGAGGCCCCTATGGTATGGCCTCATGTTTAGCTGCCCTTGGGGGCGCCACTGTTTTGCAGATCCCTGGGGTGGGCAATGTATTGCTTCCTCAAGAAAAGCCTCTAGGTGCGACGTTACCCTGGCGGGGCCCCTGGGGCGAGCAGCTTCTTCAGTCTCAAAAGTAACACACCAGAGGTCCATGGGGAAGCACTGGTGCCTCAAGGATAGGCCTTCAAGCCACCGCATTCCAAGAAGTCTCTTTGGTGTTTAATTTGCAGCTCCCCGGTGCGCTCCCCACTTTGTAGGCCCTGGGGGCACGGATACCCTGGGAGAGCTCAAGGGCGGGCACTCAGGGCAAACAGTAAGTATCTCTCATGAGGCACTATCATTGATTCATAGGGAAGTTTGCCTTTTTGCACATTTAGAACATTTAGAAATACAGGAGATATGAATAAATACACCGCCCATTGCATTTCCAGTATCATCGCATTCATCAACAATGTAAAGAAGAAATAATTATCCAACAGAAACATATGTTGGGGTGTTGTGCTGACGGACTGCTCTGGATCTTCTATTGGCTGTTATTTGATTTTTTCATTTTAGTCCACCAATCACAGTTAAGTAAGGATTGCTGGACGTGGGCGTATTATGTAATGACACCACGACCGAAAGTTATAGAACTTCTTGGCAGAGGGCTACTCTGGTAGTTCCCAGGGCTCCTCGTGGTCATTCAGCTGCCCTTGAGTGCTACTGCTTGAAGATCACCTGGGGCACCGCTGACCCTGAGGAGACTGGGGGCACGCTTCTCTAAGAAGAGCCCCCTTGGGGCGATGTTACCCATTGGCGGCCCCTGGGGCGACGTTACCCCCCTGGCGGTCCCCTGCCGTGACGTTCCCCTTGGCGGCCCTCAAGCCACTACAACTGAGAGGTCTCCCTGGGGGCACCGGTGCCCCTAGGAGAGACCCTCCCTGTGGGCGCCACCGCGACTCCGGTAAAGCCCCCTAATTGCGCCACACCAGCTCCATGCGCAAAGCTGCCACTGCTTATAGGTTCTAAAATGACATTCTCCTTGGGATAGCCTATATGCGTGACGAACCTGATAGGGCAAACAGGAGGGCCCCTCATGACACATCATCAAGTTAATTGCGGAGGCAGTTGTTTTTAAATATTTAGAACATTTAGAAACAATGGAGATATGAACAAGTAAAAACACTGCCCCACTTCCATTTCATGTATCATCGCCCCATCACTAAATTTCCAACAGGAAAACATGTTGCAAGGTGCTGACTGACTGCTCTGTTTTCTATTGGCTGTTATTTGATTTACATTTTAGTCCACCAATCACAGTTAAGTGTAAGGGATTGCTGGACGCTTGCAATATGTACGGCACGACGACCGAAAGCCAGGTCTCTTTGGCAGGGGGCTTTCTCTGGTGCTCCCTGAGAGGCCCTGAGGGTCTAGGGGCTGCCCTCTTCTTGGGGGCGCCATTGCTTCTTGAAGATCCTCTGGGAGAACTGCTGACCCTGGAGGAGAGCCCCTGAGGGGCATCAAGTCTCCCTAAGAAGCATTCTTTGGGGCGACGTTACTCCAGACAGGCCTTGGGAGCTGATGCCTTCCTGGTCGACTTCTGGGGCGCCACTCACACCTGAGAGGTCCCATGGGAGTGCTGCTCTAGAGAGTCTCCCAAGTTAAATCAGACCTGGGAAAGTCCCTGGGTGCGCCACCGCCCCCTGAAGCGCCTCTTGGTGTCGACACCCTTTGGCTTGGCCCCTGGGGGCACCGACACCTCTTTGGGATAGCCCCCTAAGGGTGACAGAACCTGATAGGGCAAAGAGGAGGGCCCCAGGAAACACTATTATCACTGGATTGACCCTGGGTCAGTTGTTTTGCACATTGGAACAATGGGAGATAGTGAATAAAAACACCGCCCATCGCATTTCCAGTATCATCGCACCCATCAACAATGTAAAAGGAGGAGTAAATATCCAACAGGAAACATAAGTTGGGTGGTTAGTTGACTGACTGCTCTGTTCTCTATTGGCTGTTATTTGATTTCTATATTTAGTCCACCCAATTGCCAGCAAGTAAGGATTGCTGACGATTGCAATATGTACATAATTGGCGATCGAAAGCTTTTTAGGTCTTTGGCAAGGGGCTCTGGTAGCCCCTGAAAGGCCCCTGAGGGTCTAGCTGGCCCTTGGGGCGCCACTACATGTCTGAAGATCCCTCAAAGGCCTGGCTGACCCCTGAGGAGCTCCCTTGGGGCATCGCCTCTAACAAGAGCCCCTTGGGGCGATGTTGCCCCTTGGAGGCCCCTGGGGGGTGACCTTCCCTTGGCGCGGGCCCCTGGGAGGGCCAAAGACACTGGAGAGGGTCCCCTGGGGCACCGAAGTTCCAGAGACCCTGTGGGCGCCATCATGCCTGGTAAGCCCTGTGTGGCCCACCATCCCTAGTAGGGATCTTGCGCGCTTGCCACCCTTGGTAGAACCCCTGGGGGCACCGACACCCTGGGAGAGTTTGTATATACCCAGAAAAATAGTGTGGCCTCTAGACATTACTTCACTGGATTGGACCGCGGGGCAGTTGAGCTGCACATTTTAGAAATAATGGTAGATATGAATAAAAAACACCGCCCATCGTACATCCTGTATCAGCCCACACCATCAACAATGTAAAGTGGAGAATAAATATCCAACAGGAAAAACATAAGTTGGGGTGTTGAGTTGACTGACTGCCCTGCTTCCTATTGGCTGTTATTTGTATTTATATTTTCTTGTCCACCAACTCATGAGTTAAATATGGATTGCGACGGCATGTAATATGTACCACAATTGCTTCCACCCAAAGCTATAGTTCTTCTTGCAGGCCTCTGGGAGGGTTCCCCATGAAGGCCCCTTAGGGGTCCTTAGGCCAACCTTGGGGGCGCCACAGCCGCAAGATCCCCCTGGGGGCATTGCTTCCCCTAAGAAAAGCTCCCTAGGTGCGACGTTACCTCATGCATCCCTCAAAAGGATGCTTCCTCTCTGTGGGCCCCTGTGCTGCTACCACACCTGAAAGTCCCATGGGCACTGGCAAAAGCCAAGGAGAGCCCCTCTGTGCCACCGCACCTGGTAAGCCCCCTGCTTGAGTTTCTGTCAGTTTCTGGGCGCAGGGCCCTGGGTGTGCCGCGCCACCCTTGGCATGGTCCCCAAAGGACTTGACACCCCAAGGATAGCCCTGAGGGCAAGGACACCCTGATAGCGCACCAAGGGCGACATACCTGGTAGGGCAAATAGGAGGCCCCAGATGGCTTATCACTGGATTGACCGTAAAGAAGTTGTTTTGCACATTTAGAACAATGTGGATATGGAATAAAAACACCGCCCATTTATTATCCCAAAATATCACACCCCATCAACAAATATCCAACAGGAAAATATGTTGGGGTAAGCGCCGAATGGACCGCCCTGTTCTCCTATTGGCTGTTATTTGTATTTATATATTTTAATCCAATCAATCACAGTTAAATATGGACGGTGGACGTAATATGTACGCATACCACCTAATTCAAAGCTATAGTTCTTCTAAGCAGGGGGTTCTCTGAGTCTCCAGAAGGCTCCTCATGGTTTAGCTGCCCCTTGGGGCGCCACTGCTTCTGCAAGATCCCCAAAGTTGCTTCCCCAAGAAAAGCCTCTAGGTGCGATGCTACCTCTGGCGGGCCCCTGGGGCGATAAGCCTTCAGGCCCCTGGGGGCAAGCACACACCCAGAGAACCTGATGGGGGCACCGGTGCCTGAAGGAGAGCCCTCTGGTGCCAATCAAGACCAGAAGCCCCCATGCCACCGCCTGGCAGGGCCCCTGGTGCGCCCCAATTTTCAGCCCCGGGGCACGGACACCCTGGGAGAGTCATTCCCTATGCGGGAGCACTCCTAGGCAACAGTAAGGCCCTTCATGGGGGCAGCCATCACTTGCTTAACTAGAAGTTTATTTTGCACATTTGTAAAATATTTAGAACAAAGGGATATGAATAAAAACACCGCATGTGCGACACCCGCTGAAAGCTATAGTTCTTTGTGAGGGGGTCCTCAGTTCCCTGAGAGGGCTCTCAGGTTTGGCCCCTTGGGTTCCTGCTTCTGGAAGGATCCTGGGGTCATTGACCCTGAGGAGAGTTCTGGGGTTGCTTCCATTTTAAGGGCCTTTGGGGAGATGTTTTGGGGTGTGGTTTTTTGGGTTTCCCTGCCGGTTCTGATTGTGTACTGGGGGTGCCTTCATTGAGAGGGTCCTGGGGCACCGGTGCCTCTAGGAGAGACCAGGTGCCACTGCACCTGGTAGCCCCTGGTGCGCCACCCTGGCTGGGGGCCCTGGAGTGCGTCACCACAAGTAGGGCCCTGAAGTCTGGACACCTTGGGATATCCCATATGGTGACGGACCTGTGGGCAAACAGTAGGCCTCATGGGGCACTATCACTTGCTTGACCGTAGGGGAAGTTTTATTTTGCACATTTAGAACATTTAGAACAAAGGGAGATATGAATAAAAACACCGCCCATTGCATTTCCAGTATCATCGCACCATCAACAATGTAAAGGAGAATAATTATCCAACAGGAAAACATAAGTTGGGGTGTTGTGCTGACGGACTGCTCTGTTCTTCTATTGGCTGTTATTTGGATTTTCATTTTAGTCCACCAATCACAGTTAAGTAAGGGATTGCTGGACGTATGCAATATGTACGACACCACGACCGAAAGCTATAGGTCTCTTGGCAGAGGGCTACTCTGGTAGGGCCCCTGAGAGGGCTCCTCAGGGTCTAGCTGCCCCTTGGAGTGCCACTGCTTCTGGAAGATCACCTGGGGGCACCGCTGACCCTGAGGAGAGCCCCTGGGGGCATCGCTTCCCCTAAGAAGAGCCCCTTGGGGCGATGTTACCCATTGGCGGGCCCCTGGGGGCGACGTTACCCCTTGGCGGTCCCCTGGGGTTGACGTTCCCCCTTGGCGGGCCCTTGGGGGCGCCACTACAACTGAGAGGTCCCCTGGGGGCACCGGTGCCCCTAGGAGAGACCCTGTGGGCGCCACCGCACCTGGTAAAGCCCCTAATTGCGCCACCACCCCTGGCAGGGCCCATGCGTGTGCCGCCACCGTTGGCAGGGCCCCTGGGGGCACCGACACCCTTGGGATAGCCCATAAGGGTGACGAACCTGATAGGGCAAATAGGAGGGCCCCAAGGGACACTATCACTGGGTTGACCGTGGAGGCAGTTGTTTTTGCACATTTAGAACATTTAGAACAATGGGAGATATGAACAAAAACACTGCCCATCGCATTTCATGTATCATCGCCCCATCAACAATGTAAAGGAGAATAAATCTCCAACAGGAAAACATAAGTTGGGGTGTTGTGCTGACTGACTGCTCTGTTTTCCTATTGGCTGTTATTTGGATTTACATTTTAGTCCACCAATCACAGTTAAGTAAGGGATTGCTGGACGTATGCAATATGTACGGCACGACGACCGAAAGCTATAGGTCTCTTGGCAGGGGGCTTCTCTGGGAGGGCCCCTGAGAGGGCCCCTGAGGGTCTAGCTGCCCCTTGGGGCGCCATTGCTTCTGGAAGATCCCCTGGGAGCACCGCTGACCCTGAGGAGAGCCCCTGAGGGCATCGTTTCTCCTAAGAAGAGCCCCTTGGGGCGACGTTACCCCTAGACAGGCTCCTGGGAGCGACGTTTTTCCTTGGTCGACCCCTGGGGGCGCTACCACACCTGAGAGGTCCCATGGGAGCAGCGTTGCCTCTAGGAGAGCCCCTGTGGGTGCCACCGCACCTGGGAAAGTCCCTGGGTGCGCCACCGCCCCTGGAAGGGCCCCTTGGTGTGTCGACACCCTTGGCATGGCCCCTGGGGGCACCGACACCCTTGGGATAGCCCCTAAGGGTGACGAACCTGATAGGGCAAAGAGGAGGGCCCCAGGAAACACTATCACTGGATTGACCCTGGGTCAGTTGTTTTTGCACATTTGGAACAATGGGAGATATGAATAAAAACACCGCCCATCGCATTTCCAGTATCATCGCACCCATCAACAATGTAAAGGAGAGTAAATATCCAACAGGAAAACATAAGTTGGGGTGTTGTGCTGACTGACTGCTCTGTTCTCCTATTGGCTGTTATTTGGATTTACATTTTAGTCCACCAATCACAGTTAAGTAAGGGATTGCTGGACGATTGCAATATGTACGACACCATGACCGAAAGCTTTAGGTCTCTTGGCAAGGGGCTCCTCTGGTAGGGCCCCTGAAAGGGCCCCTGAGGGTCTAGCTGGCCCTTGGGGCGCCACTACGTCTGGAAGATCCCCTGGGGGCACCGCTGACCCTGAGGAGAGCCCCTGGGGGCATCGCTTCCCCTAACAAGAGCCCCTTGGGGCGACGTTGCCCCTTGGCGGGCCCCTGGGGGTGACCTTCCCCTTTGGCGGGCCCCTGGGAGGGCCAGCACACCTGAGAGGTCCCCTGGGGGCACCGGTGCCCCTAGGAGAGACCCTGTGGGCGCCATCGCGCCTGGTAAAGCCCCTGTGTGGCCCACCATCCCTGGCAGGGACCCTGGGTGCGCTGCCACCCTTGGCAGAACCCCTGGGGGCACCGACACTCCTGGGAGAGCTTCTAAGCGTGACATACCTGGTAGGGCAAATAGTAGGGCCTCTGGGGACATTATCACTGGATTGACCGTGGGGGCAGTTGTTTTCGCACATTTAGAACAATGGTAGATATGAATAAAAACACCGCCCATCGCATATCCTGTATCATCACACCATCAACAATGTAAAGGAGAATAAATATCCAACAGGAAAACATAAGTTGGGGTGTTGTGCTGACTGACTGCCCTGTTCTCCTATTGGCTGTTATTTGTATTTATATTTTAATCCACCAATCACAGTTAAATATGGGATTGGTGGACGTATGTAATATGTACGACACCACGACCCAAAGCTATAGTTCTCTTGGCAGGGGGCTCCTCTGGGAGGGCCCCTATGAAGGCCCCTTAGGGTTTAGCCGCCCCTTGGGGCGCCACTGCTTCTGCAAGATCCCCTGGGGGCATCGCTTCCCCTAAGAAAAGCTCCTAGGTGCGACGTTACCCCTTGGCGGGCCCCTGGGGGCGATGTTTCCCCTTCGTGGGCCCCTGGGGGTGTTACCACACCTGAGAGGTCCCATGGGGGCACCGGTGCCTCAAGGAGAGCCCCTCTGGGTGCCACCGCACCTGGTAAAGCCCCTGTTTGCGCCACCGCTTCTGGCAGGGCCCCTGGGTGTGCCGCCACCCTTGGCATGGTCCCTGGGGGCACCGACACCCCAGGGATAGCCCCTGAGGGCACTGACACCCCTGGGATAGCACCTAAGGGCGACATACCTGGTAGGGCAAATAGGAGGGCCCCAGGGGACACTATCACTGGATTGACCGTGGGGGCAGTTGTTTTCGCACATTTAGAACAATGGTGGATATGAATAGAAACAGCGCCCACCGCATATCCTGTATCATCACACCATCAACAATGTAAAGGAGAATAAATATCCAAAAGGAAAACATAAGTTGGGGTGTTGTGCTGACTGACTGCCCTGTTCTCCTATTGGCTGTTATTTGTATTTATATTTTAATCCACCAATCACAGTTAAATATGGGATTGATGGACGTATGTAATATGTACGACACCACGACCCAAAGCTATAGTTCTCTTGGCAGGGGGCTCCTCTGGGAGGGCCCCTATGAAGGCCCCTTAGGGTCTAGCCGCCCCTTGGGGTGCCACTGCTTTTGCAAGATCCCCTGGGGGCATCGCTTCCCCTAAGAAAAGCTCCTAGGTGCGACGTTACCCCTTGGCGGGCCCCTGGGGCGACGTTACCCCTTGGCGGGCCCCTGGGGGCGCCACCACACCTGAGAGGTCACCTGGGGACACCGGTGCCCCTAGGAGAGACCCTGTGGGCGCCACCACGCCTAGTAAAGCCCCTGGGTGCGCCACCTTTCCTGGCAGGGCCCCTGGGTGCGTCCCCACCCTTTGCAGGGCCCCTGGGGGCACGGACACCCCTGGGAGAGCCCCTAAGGGCGGGGCACCTGGTAGGGCAAACAGTAGGGCCTCAGGGGGCACTATCACTTGCTTGACCGTAGGGGAAGTTTTATTTTGCACATTTAGAACATTTAGAACAAAGGGAGATATGAATAAAAACACCGCCCATTGCATTTCCAGTATCATCGCACCATCAACAATGTAAAGGAGAATAATTATCCAACAGGAAAACATAAGTTGGGGTGTTGTGCTGACGGACTGCTCTGTTCTCCTATTGGCTGTTATTTGGATTTTCATTTTAGTCCACCAATCACAGTTAAGTAAGGGATTGCTGGACGTATGCAATATGTACGACACCACGACCGAAAGCTATAGGTCTCTTGGCAGAGGGCTGCTCTGGTAGGGCCCCTGAGAGGGCTCCTCAGGGTCTAGCTGCCCCTTGGAGTGCCACTGCTTCTGGAAGATCCCCTGGGGGCATCGCTGACCCTGAGGAGAGCCCCTGGGGGCATCGCTTCCCCTAAGAAGAGCCCCTTGCGGCGATGTTACCCATTGGCGGGCCCCTAGGGGCGACGTTACCCCTTGGCGGTCCCCTGGGGTTGCCGTTCCCCATTGGCGGGCCCCTGGGGGCACCACCACAACTGAGAGGTCCCCTGGTGGCACCGGTGCCCCTCGGAGAGACCCTGTCGGCGCCACCCCACCTGGTAAAGCCCCTAATTGCGCCACCACCCCTGGCAGGGCCCCTGCGTGTGCCGCCACCGTTGGCAGGGCCCCTGGGGGTACCGACACCCTTGGGATAGCCCATAAGGGTGACGAACCTGATAGGGCAAATAGGAGGGCCCCAAGGGACACTATCACTGGGATGACCGTGGGGGCAGTTGTTTTTGCACATTTAGAACATTTAGAACAATGGGAGATATGAACAAAAACACTGCCCATCGCATTTCCTGTATCATCACACCATCAACAATGTAAAGGAGAATAAATCTCCAACAGGAAAACATAAGTTGGGGTGTTGTGCTGACTGACTGCTCTGTTTTCCTATTGGCTGTTATTTGGATTTACATTTTAGTCCACCAATCACAGTTAAGTAAGGGATTGCTGGACGTATGCAATATGTACGGCACGACGACCGAAAGCTATAGGTCTCTTGGCAGGGGGCTTCTCTGGGAGGGCCCCTGAGAGGGCCCCTGAGGGTCTAGCTGCCCCTTGGGGCGCCATTGCTTCTGGAAGATCCCCTGGGGGCACCGCTGACCCTGAGGAGAGCCCCTGAGGGCATCGTTTCTCCTAAGAAGAGCCCCTTGGGGCGACGTTACCCCTTGACAGGCTCCTGGGAGCGACGTTTCCCCTTGGTCGACCCCTGGGGGCGCTACCACACCTGAGAGGTCCCATGGGAGCAGCGTTGCCTCTAGGAGAGCCCCTATGGGTGCCACCGCACCTGGGAAAGTCCCTGGGTGCGCCACCGCCCCTGGAAGGGCCCCTTGGTGTGTCGCCACCCTTGGCATGGCCCCTGGGGGCACCGACACCCTTGGGATTGCCCCTAAGGGTGACGAACCTGATAGGGCAAAGAGGAGGGCCCCAGGAAACACTATCACTGGATTGACCCTGGGTCAGTTGTTTTTGCACATGTGGAACAATGGGAGATATGAGTAAAAACACCGCCCATCGCATTTCCAGTATCATCACACCCATCAACAATGTAAAGGAGAATAAATATCCAACAGGAAAACATAAGTTGGCGTGTTGTGCTGACTGACTGCTCTGTTCTCCTATTGGCTGTTATTTGGATTTACATTTTAGTCCACCAATCACAGTTAAGTAAGGGATTGCTGGACGATTGCAATATGTACGACACCCCGACCGAAAGCTTTAGGTCTCTTGGCAAGGGGCTCCTCTGGTGGGGCCCCTGAAAGGGCCTCTGAGGGTCTAGCTGCCCCTTGGGGTGCCAATGCATCTGGAAGATCCCCTGGGGGCACCGCTGACCCTGAGGAGAGCCCCTGGGGGCATTGCTTCCCCTAACAAGAGCCCCTTGGG